CCAACATCTCGTTAATCGTGACATTACTGGAGGTATTAACTAAATTTTGTAGTGTATATTGTTTAAAAATCTATAATGAACATATACATGAACGGATAAAGCAGAGCATTGAGTTTTAACAAAGATAAATATATTTGAAAAACGAAAGACCTTTTTAGGGCTAAAATCAGTAACCAATTAATATCGAATAAGGCCATACAGATTTCAGTGTTGTTTGCGCGCTTAAAACCGTAGTAGCTTTCGACTGTCCTAAACAATGGGCTATCAAAGAGACATCTATGTTAACTATAACGGTGGGATGATAATGATCGAGCTTTGACATAATCTCGCATAGTGACACTTCAACTCCATTACAGTTTGAAAAGCACAAGTCTAAGATTCTATTATCGAAATTTTTGATATTCTTGTACTGATGAAACAATAGATTGAAGTAATTCTTGTAAATGCATGTCTCAGTTTCTCTAGTAGGAAGAATACCATCAAAGTCAGGTACCTGAGTCGAATTCAATATTACTTAAATCAAAGTCACCTATTACTACAATTTCACAGTTAGGATGAATATCGCATATGTTTTGCAGAGATTGAACATGTTCGGAATATTTTAACAATGCGGAATTAGGTGGAATATAAACGCAGCGGATAATGAGATCCTGATTAGCAAGTGAAACTTTTATCCAAATTTCTTCGACGTAGGAATTAACAGAAGTCAACTGCATGGAGTTGAGCTTCTTGTTGATTGTCAACAGGAAGCCACCACCTTTTTGTTTCTCTCGTTTTTGTACATTAAGTATCTGCTGTCAAGAACTTCATTGTTTTGGATTTCCTGAGATAACCACGTTTCACTTAACGCTATGGCGCAGTAATTTTTGCTTATAGCAGCGCAATATAGATCCTTCAATTTGATTCTAATGCGAGAAAGTGTTGTTTCTTTCTGTTGATCTGTGCATTCCCTACAGTTTGTGTTTCTTTTTTCTATCCTGATAAAAAATGTAACTTCTTAGCGCCTTAATAATAAATTCTTCATGAGGAAACTTGCATTTTAAATAGTCTATCAAGTCTTCACATCTAACATTTAGTTCCACTTTGGCAATATAGATGTGAGACATACCTGGTGCCTCTTTTAATGATGTATTGCCTTCTGGCAACTTAGCTCTACCACGTAGAAATTTTCTTTTGGAAACACGGAGATTCTCGAATTTCAACTTTGGTGTTGCGTTGCATAGAGCGTTTGACCTTCAGCACGCAGAATCCATAACACGCCAGTGAATTTTCGAACTAATGCTGGCCCTACACACAGCGATCCGGCCTTAAGGCCAGATCCGCACAGTTAACTCATTGCGCACTACACACAGAGAATTCAGTTCGTGCCAACATAAAAAAAAACAGTACCCCGTCAACATTCAGAATGTTCGTATCGATGCAACAAAAACGGACAGCAGCCGTGATTGTGTTATTATCAAAAGAAAAAAGAAAAAGACAGAAATGGATGAAAGAATGGTACAAAAAAAGACAAGTCGATAATCATGTATTGTTATTGAGGGAAATTAATGAAACAGAGCCAGAAGATTTTAAAAATTATTTTAGAATGTGTGAAACAAATTTTAATCTGCCCTTAAGTTACATCAGGGCCTTTCTGATTAAACAAGCCACGCGTATGCGAGAACCAGTGTCCGCAGAAGAAAGATTGACGGTGACGTTAAGATATTTAGCGACCGGAAGATCGTTTGAAGATTCAAAATATAGTACCCGAATATCACCCCAAGCAATTCGGCTTATAATTCCGGAAACATGTAATATTATCTATCAAGTGTTAAAGAAGAAGTACTTGCAGGTAACTTAATTATTTTTTATTTATAAATTTAGCACAATGTAACTGAAATATAATTATGTAAATATTAAAAAATAACAAAACATATAATATGTATAAACAACATTAAACCACAAATAAAAAGATATTCAAGTTTACAAAACAGAAAACAAAATTAAAAAATAATACTGTTACAAATATCAGTCAATGTATAAACTACTTAGATAACAAAACACATACAGGGATTTACAATTCATTATAAGAACTATTTCCTGAAGACTCAGCTGAAAGAGAGAGCAAACTATTAATGGTAAAAGTGGTACCTGCAAGAGAGTGCGGAAGAGGAATAAAAGAATTAGAAGCTTCTGAGGTAGTAGAGGTAGCAATATGAGAACTGAAAGAATTAGGCATTTGAGAAATAGTTGATACAGGTTGAGAAAAAGGAGGAGGGAAAGTAGGGATCCCAGAAGATGGTGCTACAATGTCCAAAGTTTCCGTAAGTTTATTTAAAGTACTCAAATACATGGCCTTGTTTATTAGATTTTCGCAATAAATGCGTTGGGAAACTTCCATTCTTCGTAACTTTGATGCTACAGTTACCCCATACGCATCATATTCGTCGCTAGCCGGTGCTTGCAATATTTTCTCCGCTGTTTCCAATACTGTTTCCCTCCTTGTTTTTTGTCTTTTGCGAGGGTTGCTAACTTTTACAGAAGTTGTTTCCTCTCTTTCAGCATAGATCTAAAAGATAAACAATTATCGGATAATATTATCACAGCATTAACTGTATAACTTAAACCTACTCAGTTTATGAAAGGTTTTTAGCATGATGTAAATGATATTTTTTTTCAGTTACCAAGTACTGAAGAAGACTGGCTTGAAAGTGCGTGTTGATGGCTATAGTAAATGCAAACTATGAATTTATCTACGTGGAACTTGGTACTAATGGAAGAGTGTCAGACGGAGGAGTGTATGAAAATATGACATTTTGTAAACGCATGGCAGAAAATAAATTAAATCTGCCAACAAAGGATAAGAATGAAATTAACTTGAATTTTATTTTCGTAGCAGATGATGCATTTCCCCTTAGTGAACATATTATGAAACCGTTTCCCCCAAAAAAATTTAACTATGGAAAAAAGAATTTTTAATTATAGATTATCTAGAGGACGACGAATAGTGGAAAATGCATTTGGTATTCTTGCCGCCAGGTTCCGAGTTTTTCACACAGATCGCAATGGAACCAACAAATTTAGATAAAGTTGTATTAGCAGCATGTGTACTACACAATTTTTTAAGAAAAACTTCCGGAACTACCTACATGTTTAGGCGAATGCTAGACTACGAAGATTGCGAGAACTATAACGTTTGTCCAGGTGATTGGAGAAATGACAACACTCCTCTTTTAGAGCTACAGATAGGACATTACAAAAATAATTCAAATAATGCAAAAGAGAATATACAGTTATATGGAATACTTCAATGGAAGGGGTGCTGTTCCATGGCAAAATAGAATGGTTGAAAAAGGCAATTATTGAGTATCAATTGCAATGAAATAGTTACATTATACCTTAATTATTATAAGTACGTTTAAATAATAAATTTATTTTAGATTTTGTAAAAACGAAAACTTTAATATTTACATCTTCATTACCTTCTTGTTCAATCATTTTTGTTTTTGTTTCATGGCATATGTTTCTTATTGTAGCAGGTCGTTAAATTAATATAAATATATATATTTTTCAAAAAATTACTTAATGTCTTTTTCGGAATAATAAATTTAATATTACGGTTTTCTCAAAAAAGAACTAAGCGCCAAAATGCTTCCTTAAAACTGTAAAGGACTGGGTGTTTTTGATGCCATGAACAAAATAGACTACATTCATAAAGTCATGTATTCTTAAGGCAAAAATTTTATTCCGACATTAATACAAATTTTTAGTTTTTAATGAAAGTTTACTCTAGTATTACTAGGAATTACTTATTTAAGCATTTTCGGAGATTCGACCCCTAAGGGGGTGAAAAGTGGTGTCTAAGTTTGGGCGGCTGAGTTTGTATAGGAACCATATTTCTACTATAAATTGAAATTTTTACGTGAAACTTGGTATTAATGTTCTTCAACAGAAATAGTGAAACCCGTCTTTAAGCATTTTCTAAAATTCAACCCCTAAGGGGGTGAAATGTAGAGGCTAAGTTTGTATTGGAAAATATTTCCATTGTATATTTAAATTTTTACGTGAAGCTTGGTATTAATGCTCTTCGACACAAATAATGAAACACGTATTTAAACATTTTCCGAGATTCAACTCCTAAGGGGTTAAAAAAGGGTGTGGCTAAGTTTGTATGAGAAAAATAATTTTATGGTGATGTTTACTTAAAACTTGGTATTAATGCTCTTCAGCACAAATAATAAAACACGTATTTAAGCATTTTTCCAGATTCAACCCCTCAGGGGGTGAAATATGGTGGCTAGATTTGTGTGAGAATATTTCTATTGTAAATTTAAATTTTTACATGAAAATTTGGCATTAATTGTTTCCAATACATGAAACACGTATTTAAGCATTTTCCGAGATTCAACTCCTAAGGGGGTCAAAAATACTGGCTAAATTTGTGTGGGAAAATATTTCTATTGTAAATTTAAATTTTTGCGTGAAACTTGACATTAAATTAATGCTAAGGGAGTGAAATGTGGAAGACTAAGCTTGTATGGGAAGAATATTTCTAATGCAAATTTAAATTTCTACGTGAAACTTGGTATTTGGCTCATCAATACAAGTAATGAAGCACGTATTTAAGCATTTTCCGAGATTCAAGTGAAAAGTGGTGGCGAAGTTTGTATGGGAAAATATTTCTACTGTAAATTTAAATTTTTAAGAGGAACTTGGTATTAGGTAATACTCTTCAACACAAATAATGAAAGATGTATTTCAGATTTTTTCAAAATTCCACCCCTAAGAAAATGAAAGGAGGTCACAAAGTTTGTATGAGGAAAAATATTTTTATGGAAATTTTTACTTGAAATTTTGTATTGATGGTCTTCAACACATTTTTTACTTGAAACTTAGCAATAATGCTCAACACAACGAATCGTCTACGCGAGCGAAGCCGCAGGCGAAAAGCTAGTAAATAAATAAATTAATAGCAAAATAGCTTTCATTACCGCCGGTGGCTACGTAGACACCTCCTAAATTCTGCAAGAGGTTCTGCCCGGAGCCTGCGCACACAGTTATCTAGAATATATTGTTCCGTGTTCTGTGATTGTGTGCGATAATGGCGAGTTGGTGAAGTCGTAGTTGTTTAAATTGGAGGAGATTGTGAATGCTTCATGAACCATTTCATTTTGTTTTGTGTTAAATATTTTCGGAAAATAAGGTTTTCTTAGTTGTGCTTGTTTATCTGGTGGTTACGCATCGCTAGTGTGTTTGAAATATGGGGAAGATTTTCCATAAAATGGCTACCGTTAATGGTTATATCATCCAGATCGTTAGACGGTAAGTTTCGCTTTTAAAACAAATAAAGTTTTTGATCGTTCATCGACTCCCAAGTAAACAAATTACAAATTGTGAGATTAACGAAGCGTGGGATGGTTGAACCAGAGGTTGAACGTACTAGTTTTTGCCGTTTCCACTTGTTGACTGTAAATTTGGTAACGTTCGTAGACAATTTTCTAACTAAAAGCCGTTCGCAATCAACCGAAAACTGTTACCAATTGCTAAATTTTAAGCAACGTCAGCAGGTGGGGTTTCAATAGAAATAGCAAGGACTACATAATTTATTTTCGTTCTTATGTAATAATAACCAAAGGACGGATTTTGGAGCACAAAGAGATTAATAGTTATTTTCAGAAAAAGATTATTGATATCTCCACCCATTCTACTGTATGTATAGCACAGAACACCCACTTTAGAAGTGACTGCACAACAGGGCCGTAGCTAGAACTAAATTTCAGGGGAGGCTTTCACAAATTCAGGGGTGGCAGGGTACATATTTGTGATATAGATAGTAATAATGAGCAGATACATACAAAAATAAGTACATATGAACAAAAATTGAAAGTATAGTGAACCAAGAGTTATAAGGTTATATGGCCATCATAAAATCATCCCATTGTGTCGAAGTTAAGTTGTTTACAATAGAAAAGGTTTTAGGGTCGTAAATAACGTGTCCACTGCAGCTCGACCGGCTGTTGTGGTTTCGTTCAGGGGCGGCTTTCTCTAAATATAAAAATCCACCACTCCACTATTTCTTTACTACCTGCAGCCGCTGAGGGTTCCGAAATAACCACTCGCTTTGAAAGCCGGCCCTGTTAAATATGAGCAAGAAATGTTTAGAAGATGATTTATTGCCAACCGGTAAGCTTAGTGCGAACCACACAAAGGGGGTATTTATTTGCGGTCAACTACTTTTATAATGGCCATATAACCTTATAGGTCTTGGTTCACTATATATAAGCTTAATGCTTAATATAAAGACAGAAAAATACAATTTCTACTTTTATTATTATGCTTACGTTTATAATGATGTTTGACTCTCTCCGGTTCAATCAAAATATTTTTAAAGAATTGTACATCCATGTTACGAAAATTTATTTGCACACACACTTTAGTTTAAAAAAGATGAATTCGTGGATTTTTTATTTTATTAAATTTTTGTAAGAACATGTCCATATTTAGGTATATTGTTCGTGCGTTCCTTCTCAAAAGCAAGTAAAATCAAATTTGCCATTCGCTGATGTGTCATAGATAACCGCCGCGGTCGGTTAATTCTTGTCAATACAGAAAATGACGATTCACATACAGCAGTACTACAACCAAATATTTTGCAAGTTGCGAGTAACCGATACGTATCTTCAAATACAGCTCGTTGTTCAAAAATATTCATATTTTCTTCTTTCGTTTGCTTATTTTTTAGATATTTGTTTACCAATGCTAATTCTTCGTAGCTAGGAAGTTTGATATTCAAAGTTTCTAAATATTTTATTTTTGGTAAATCCAATTCTTCAGCAGCTGAGAGTGCATGTAACAGTTCATTATTGTTAAAAAAGCGTCTATTCATTTCGTTTAAAATGGTATCCAGGGTTTGATAATATATTAACTTAAGATGGCAATTTTCTGTTAAATTTTCTTCCTACAAACTTTGTCCAATAGGTACTACTTGTAACTAGGTAATCCTGTAAATTTGTATTGATTTTTCTTTTCCTTCGTATAGTTACACAAACATCTCCAGCATCAAAGTCCCAGGTCGTGGTATTTAAAATGTCTTCAAACACATTGTCACTTCTGTAATCTTTTAGAACCTGCATTACAGAGTTCAAAACAATTTGTGCATCGCTCAAGCTGGATTCGCGTGTTTGACAAATTTTGTCAGCCGGTTCTGTGATTTCTAAAACTTTTTTTCAAGAAGATTAAAGAAAATCTGAATTCTTCAGTTTTCATAATAACAAGTAATCCTGTGGCTTCAGCAATGTTGTCTCCGTTCATGTCTGAATAAGTTGTAACTTTTTCTAATGTTGAAAATTGTTGAAAATAATTTTCGTTACGTTTAAGTGTCCCCTCCACCTTTGATCTAAAAGTCGACAGAGTATGACCATCATACATTTTAGCGATATTTGCTTTCTTCAGAAAATTGTATAACATATTACATTGTTCAAAAAAATGTTTTATTTCTGCAACTTCTTTCCTGGATTTCATAATCACTAATAAGCCAGTGCCGATAATTTTTCAGAACAAAAAAATTTAGAACAGGATGATACCCATTGCAAAAGAAAGAAAATATTACAAAAATAAAAGGAAAAATAATTTACGGGCGATCTGAGGTCGAGAAGTGGAGAGGGTGAGCTTTTAAGGGTAGAAAACGGTTTATCACGATTTTCGGCAAAACTACAAGCCCTATCGAAAAAAGTTAAATGGCAAAGTTCTAGGTAATAAAACGATGTACAACTTTTGTATTTAGACTTTTTTTTGCATAACCTCAAAATCTATGCGAAAAATGCAAATAACCGAGTTTTTGGTTTTTTATTTTTATCTCCCACAAAAAATTTTTTTTCACGAAATCTGGTGAAAGCTTACTTATTTATGTCCCAAACTTACTGTAATTTTTTTGATTCAAAATATTTATTTTTCCCCCTTATTTTGATTTAATATCGTCAAAATGTTTGCTTTTTTAAAAAAATCCGTGTGCTTTTTGTTCGTTGAAATCTCTAGTTTCTGATGGTGTAAAAAAAGTATACATTACTATGGCAAATTTTCACAGGAAATCCAAAAAACGAAGAAACTCGAATCTAGCCCATAATCGTCAAAAACTTTTAATGTCAAATCGGTGAATGCTTGTGCATTTAAATCATTACACGTTTTTATAACAAGAATAACTGCTTTTACTTTTTCATGTCTGATATATCTAACACCAATTGAAACATTTTCTCTGTTATTTTTATCACGTGTTCCGTCCTCCAATATAGAAAACCAAGGAACGTCAGCATTTTGAACATCTTTAACAATATCTTCAGCCACCATATCTGCTAGTATTTGAATTATACTGTTTTGAATTTCAGGGGATAAGTATGTGGCATTAGCTGGTATTGTTTCTACACATTCAGCAAGTTTTTCATCTTTTCTAATAGTGTATTCAAAAAGATTTTGGAATAAACTTTTCTCTTCTTGTTCGATAATGTCATAGGTTCCTCGCAAAGCTAATTCATTGACAACTAAAAACTTGATAACGTCGGCAACAGATTTGACGTAGTATCTGTGACGCTCTAAAATGTCAGTGTTAATAAGAGTGGAAATTGATATTCCAGTATTTTGTCGTCTATCTTTTTCGTTCCACATACTCATTGCTACGAGTATCTAATGAATTTCTGAAGAGGCATGCTTGACAAAACCTTTTTCTTTATTCAAAGCGTCCTTCCAGTTTCGAAAACCATTTGTAGTAAACGGCCTTTCTTTACTCGCTAACGGTCGAAATTGTCGACATGCATAACAAAAGGCAGCGTTCAGAGATTTCGAATATTCCAACCACTTAAATTTTTTGAACCAAACAGCTTGAAAACTTCTGTTCGAAAGGAATCGCAATTTGTTGCATCGTCTATATTACACACTTCCCTCCAAGCAGAACGCATATTTTTGTCCTTGGGAAACGTATACATATGCTTGTTATTTCCATGCAGATAATATTTATTACCGCAGTTGGGATGTTTACAGGAATATTTCAGTCTGAAAATCCGCAGATTTTTCATCCAGTTTTTTATACCTCCATTTGGGTTGTAAAATCAGAACGTCCAGTACCTTTCCATTTCCATTGTATACAAATATTTTTCTGAAAAATTAATGTTTTCGTTAACTGATTCTTGATTATCTAATTTCTTCATTTTTCTTTATTGTTTCTTCTCAAATTCTGTTGAAATATTCATATTTATTGCTAAATTTTACAGTCATCAAAAATACTTTCAAAAATATTATTCCTCATTTTTTTTTTCTGTTTCTTGTAGTATCAAATTCCATTCAGATAACATACGTCAAAATTTTAAATGAATTTGTTTTAGTAGACTGTTACTTTCGGCAGATTGCAACGATTTTTTATTTGAAGTGATATTTTTAGCATATCGTACACTTCTGTTATTTGTTAGAATAATGCTTTGACTGCATTTGCTCTTGAGAGTTTTTAAAACACTCGTAAGTACATACTATATACTTGTCAAATTTACAAAAAACGTCTAGATCCTTTGTATAATTGTAAAAAAGGTGGAGTTTTTAATTAATTTCTATCATTTCACATTTTTACATCTTTGACAATTTGGCGCCCTTCGAATTTGTTCACGATGGGGTACGGTCACTTAGTTCTTCTGTTTCGAGCAACGGCCTTGTCTTTTGTTCTTGCGAACTAGAGAGCCGTGTTTTGAGTTCCGTCTTCAATTACTCGTACTTATCGATCGGCGGTGGTTTCGTTACAACGTTCTTTATTTCTGTCATGTACTGTGACTCCAGGTTTGTTAAGCCGGATTTATAGTTATTCCGTATACGCAAACGGGCCCGGATGACGCAACGGAAGAAAGTGCAACATCAGGTTTTGCTAACATCCATTTATAGTAACTCCGCATTCGGAAGCAGGTGTTACATACTTTTTTTAAAGTACATAAATTAACCGAAATAATTGGTTAGTTTACAAACCCCACTTTGTTCTGGTTAAAATAAGAACTTTTTCTCTAGTACGATAAAATAACCAATGAATTGTATCATATTTTAGGCAGTTAGTATATAAACTAACGCAGATGAATAGAATGAGTATGTTGGAAGAATGTGTAAGATTAGGGAAATCGTTAAAGATCTTCGTGAGAAATAATATGCAATTGGAAAACTGAATGGAATAGAGTGACAATATTTTTTATTAAAAAAATAATAATTGCAACACTTAGAAAAGGTAAACTGATTGGAAGAATTATATGAAACATAACTATAAAAAAAAACATAAACACAAAATAAATTCTGATGAAAAG